GATTAGCTTCTCGTCGTCGACGCCCTCATCCGCTTCCAGCGCTTCCACAACGCCTTCGAGCGTCTCGTCGTTGGACTCGTTTCCACTGAAATCGCTGCAGAATTCAGTGACTCTTAGATTATCTGTAAATATAAATAAATACACGAATGAATGGAAACAGTGTTCATGTGTTTTGGTGTCAAATCCGGTGATACCTTCTGCGAGATTAGGCGTCGAGTCGAAGCGCAAGAGTTTCTCGTCGTTTAAGACAATCTTTGGACTACTGTTGCACTCATTAGAGTCGATGGTGTGATGTCTTTCGACATGGAGTTCAACGATTGGAGTCCGAGGTTTGGACCCATTCTGGCGCTTATTATCAATGAGTTTGTAATCAGTGTTTGTAATCAAAAACAAGAGGTTTTCGTAAATAAACTTTTGTTCACTAATTATGTCTATTATAGGGATAAACACGGAATGAGTCAACAGTTGCTTAAGAATCACATAAACGCCGAGATTTGGATCCTTTCGCACGATAGGAGTGATGTCTTCGGTGGCCAGAAGCCGAAGAAGTCGATCGACAATCGCTTCCATTCGCTGGCATTCGTTGAACGTCTGGTCGTCACCACTGGACTCGTCACTCAAATGGGTCTCCAATAAAATCAATACTTTTCGCGCGAAGACCTCTTTGTCCACACATTTCACGCACTTATCAAACAATTGACAAAAGATTTGCTGCAATATCTGTCGACAATCGGTGGTAAAGTCTTCGTTATCTGTTCCGATCAGTTGATACCAGAACTCGATATACTTGTCGGTGATTATGTGGGACACAGTTTGCGACTCGTTCTCGATGTCCACATATTCACCACAGAATTGTCGACTCATTGCTGCTGAGGAGGAATAGTCGTTGCCATCGATTGCATCAGTAGTTCTGGCGTTGAGTTTCATCGATATCTTATTGAATACATAACTGAAGAACTGTTTGGCTATTTGTATGCAAACTAGTCTTAATCTCGCTATCAATGCATATCTGATGCCACTGTCATCGATGGCTAATTCCTCGTGAGTTTTGGGGCGTTTTGTCATCAACTTCGAGATCATGTTTGCAGTGATTGTCAAACTGATGGCAAACACTGTTATCATGAGTGAAACTAATGCCAAACAATTGGATCCACTGGTGACTAGTATTGACACTAATAGCGCCGCTAATGAACACAATTTGGACATCAAATCCATTGTCTTTTTGCATCAAAAAAGACTTTTAAATCCAGTTTTCATTGAACTGTCATTTGCTGTCAATTCATGTCATAATCAGATGTAAACAAAACTTTTTGTGATTACAAAGTCCACAAACTATGTGACGAAATGCAGTGCTTTTTATGTCCCCTTTGCTGCCCCTTTCAATTAATTTACACTCAAATCACTAACATTTTAATCTAATTTATAAAATATAAACTGGCATTAACCTGGGTTATATTGTCCTAGTCTATCTCATATAATAATTCTAATGGTATAAAACTTTAATAAATTTACCTTGGGGATAATTCCCCTCTTATTGTATGCACATATTGTATGAATGTCTAGTAATTCTACAGTCAGTGTCCGATATAACTGATTAATTCATTGAAATATAAGTTCAATAAAACATTACAATTGAAAGCTATGTTACCATAGGTTTAATGAAACGATTGATTGCATTCATAGAATTTAATCAGACTTTTGTTAGATTAGAGTTAACGCGGTATTCATTGGTATATCTGATTGGTATCCATAGCACACACTTTCACTGTAACTCTATTGCCAAATGCAATCCAATCGGTTTACCTGTGCATTGATTAGTAACGGCACGCGTTTTGGTCCTTTTATGGACTATAGTCTATAATGGCGTTATAGCGGGCGCTGGTAGTGACAAAAGGGTGCGAACGCGCGGCTCACGTAAAAAGGGCCGCAAAGCTCGCGCCAGTCGTTCGTGGTTTGCGACACAACTATATAATCAAAACATTTGTTACCAAAAGATCATGAAATTCAATGATTCAATGGTTTAGTACTCGGAGTCGAGCCATACGTACGGCAACTCCTCCTTCACGTAATCACCACTCGCTGAGTGAACCACAATACTATCCACACGTTTGCCACCAATTATTGTCTCCTTTTTCATGTGACAAGAGCTGCGTGAGTGGGTTTCGTTTGCTTTTTTAGTTTCTCCGTTAAGTCTTTAGTTGTTTTGATTCGTGGGATCCGTTAATCGGTGACCGACTCACCCGAAGACATGTTGGACCGATCGGTGATATCGCGTCTGTCGTCGATGTCTCTGTTGAGCCCATCGTCGGCTGATTATATCACCCAATGCTTCGAGTGGTGCAGCTATTGGATGGACCAATTGGTCGCCTTTTATCTGTCAAACCCGCGCTCTTTTGTCGCCATCATATTCGCCATCGTCTTCATCACGTATTACTTGCGACAAGTGGTCAGAGTATGTACTCATTACCGACGCGTGGCTGTAGTCTATGTATATGTTAGTAGTGTTAGTCTACACTCGCCTATAGTGTACCCAT